TCCGAAATTTTTAATAATTTAAGGGTTATTTTGAGTTATTTGTTATCGTGATGGGACAATTGTAAACCATAGTTTTTATAAAAATATTATTCTTACGGATAAATAATTATTTAAACTAGGTAGCTCCTTCCAATCGTAGTAATACGTTCGATTATTGTTTAGAAATGCCAAATTATGAAATCATTAAAATGTAGCATGTTTTTATATATTGCCAAACCGTGATTCTGATTGCCATGGAACTTTGACGAATTATTAATTGTTTAATACATTCCTGGAGAATTTCACTGTCATTGACAGTACTATCCGTTTTGGATATGGGTTTTTGGGGCTTTCAGCGAATCTCCCTATAGGGAAGTACTGTAGCTATTACCATAGGTGGCACGGTAAGACCTAGACCCGGGCAGATTTACTTATTTTATGTCCCCAGAGGCTAACAACACAATTTTTTTAAATTATATATATGTATATATGTATGTATATATATATATAGTTATATATGTGTCCGTAAAGGCCATAGCTCGAGTAATTTTTGTCCGATTTTGATGAAATTTGGTTTATAAAGTGTAAGGCGGGATAAACCAGAATGAGTTCACGAACCGGGCATAATCGGACCATGGGAATGGGTTTTACGGGAGGTTTTATGGGTAAAAATTGGGGTTTCTTTTTTTTGACCCTCAAAACACAAAATTTCCCACTTTCTCTCTAGACCTTTTTAAAGAGCTAAAAAAAAACAAATAATTTTGTATACCAAAGTTTTTTGTCTGGTTATTGGTAACGGAGAAAATTTAAAAAATCTTAAATTTTAATTTCCCGTGTTATTCTTATGGAGAAAATGACAACTGTTGTAAGTTTGTCTGTTTATGGATATATTTTAATTACATAATATGGATATAAACAACAATATTTTAACAGATAAACAAATGGTATACTACTGAAAATGTCTTGTAAAAACACTTTTAAAAAATGCCTTGAGGTACAATGGATTGGGAGGTGGTAAGCTGCTCCCCCGTGCCTGGGACGCCAGCGAGTGCGTCGTGCAAATTGCTTGTCTTGACTGTACTCTTCCATTCCTTACCATTTCCTAATCCCTTCCTTGCGGGTGTAAGTAAACTGTTCTCCCTTGGCTATTGCATACATTTGATATACGTTCACTAAACTATTGAGTTACAGACTAGTTAGAGTTCAATTGTGTAATAGAATGTAAGTAATAAGTTGAGGTAACAAATAAATTACAGCAACCCATTCTAGTTTACAAGCACTATGCTACAATGATTGTCGTACCACTACGCAAATAGTGCGTTATCAAATTTGGTTTTTGAGCCATGCCACACCGAAAGTACCATGCCCTCGGCGGGAGTTTTGGGATGATTTTTATCACAATTTGTTTTACATAATAATTACATCTTACCTAGGACATGTAAAGTTTCTGTAGCAAACTGTTTTTAGAAGTAATTTAATTTTTTTAATAGGGTTGAGACTAAACTATCCACTTTCACTTTTGTTTTCAACGTTATTTTTCGGTACACTACAAAGACTAATTAAGTTATTTTTAAGAGTTGTTAGCCTCCGGATTACGTTTGAATATTTAAACCATTATAAATAATTAAGTTACTTTTTAAATAAAAACATTCATTGGAATACTGAATTTCTTTAATCCAGTTACGAAAACTTCAAAACTAATGAAATTTTTACCTAGGCTTTATATAACGAGTCCAAATTTACATTGATTGTACAGTTTTGGTTGTTGCAAATTGAAACTGTTTATCAAACAATTACAAATAATGTTTGTTTGTTTACGTCGACAACATAAAAAATATGATAGCAAACATTAAATTTGCACCGTAAACATTCTTTTCGCACGGAAAAAAATCATGCATATTTCCGGTGATAACATAATACGAAAACAATTGATTTTGTGTGGTATGTCTGAGGTAAAACGTCCGTGCGCGGTACTCCCGCGGAAACAACTTATATACTAGAGCACAATCTACAGCATAATCATGACCCCGACGAAAGCAAATATTCAGTCCAAGCAATATCAAATAGCTGCAAAAGAAAAGCAACAGAACAGTTGTTTGAGAAACCCCGAGAAAATCATTAAATTGGAATTAGAATTAAGTAGTGGAAAGGAAACAGTCAACGAAAAAGATATCTCGAAGGTCAGGAAGAATATTTACAATGCGAGAAGAAATCTTTGCCTCCTCTACCTAAAACTTTACTTCAACTCAACTGGCGCTGGATAGTATGAACATTGAAACCGGCCGGGGAGAGAACTTTCTATTAGACAACGATAAGTAAAATAAAATTGTGTTATTGGGAACAGAGAGAAATATAGAAATGCTAAAAGACAGTGACTTTTGCTAATGGATGGAACCTTCGACTATTGCTGTGACAATTTCAAGCAGATGTTTACAATTTTTGCAGCTAAGAATGGACACTACATCCCACTTCTGTTTACCCCTACTTCCTGATAAGAAGGAAACAACATATGAAGTTCTTTTTAAGAAGATTCAATCTGCAATGGGTGACCACTGTACTTACCTTTGGTTGCAGATTTCATCTGACCCAGAGTTGGTAACTTGTTTACAAATTTCCATAATGGATCTAAAGTATTATGACCGTACTAACGGTAGTAGGACCGTAGATGCTGTGTTAACAGTTACTGTAAGTACGCGTGTATAACCTTTAATTTTGGTATCCTTAAAGGCAAAGTTATTAATAACATTGATAAACACTATTGATTTGTATACCTACAAGATAAAGAGTTACTATTATGATATACTCGGTATTTTGTTATAGAATATTTATATGTGTTTACCCTTTGTGAGTGAGCTGGTGTCATTCCAAGTATGTTAAGATCAATAGTGTGCAAGACAAGCCACGGAAGAATGGAGGGAAACAGTACAGGAAGAGAAAAACTAAGTAAACCTTGCAAGAGAACGTTATTTGAGTGGTGCGATTTCGCGGAAATACTTCGTTCAAATTGCTAAAAATTTCGCAAATTTGCGATTCGCAAAAAAATGACGGACTTCGTTCATGCTTCGTACATGTGACAAACCTTAATCATTTTCAAGAGTTTATTTTGATGTTTTACCTACAACCGTTTTTTTTTAAATGCCGTTACAGTTCAGTTCTTAAAATTAAAAAGTTTCACATAACAGCATTGTTTACTTACATAACATCATAGTTTTAGTTAACTACACGGGCAATGTATCAGTTTATTTTAGTTAACTACACGGGAACATTACTTGACCAATGAGGGTCAAGAATTAAGAGAAAAATTAAAATTATTTAAAAAAAAGTTAAACAATTATTGTAATGCTTCGAACTTTAACTAACCATCTCTTTACCAATTGAAATGTTAACGATATGTGTATTTAGTGATTGGTACAACGAGTCGTCGCATCTCTGTCAGTGGCATTGAGAGATTATATATAAACGAAAACATAACCTCTTCTGGAAATCGGGTTTAGTGATTATTAGTAATTAAAAACCGGTCGTAGGTAAAGTATTCCAAGAAACTCGAGTAAATAGTATTATTTCTATATTGATACAGTAACTAGTACGTGTTTTTAAAATGAGTTTTTTATTTTTTCATTTAGTATTATTGATTATAAAGAGGGTTTAATTATTTTCAAGGGTTTATTATAATGTTTGCTTGGAAAGTACAGTGTTGATTTTAAATGGAGAATATCGATTTTTCTATATTGTTAACTAGTATATTTTATTTTTTATAATGAACATATTTTTATAGTGAACAATCAAATGTATGCAACAGCCAAGGGAGAACAGTTTACTCACACCCGCAAGGAAGGGATTAAGAGATTAGGTAAGGAATGGAAGAGTACAGTCAAGACAAGCATTTGCACGACGCACTCGCTGGCGTCCCCAGGCACGGGGAGCAGCTTACCTACGCCCAATGGATTAGTACCTACATACCAAATTTCATCAAAATCGGACTATACAGAGTGTCCCGGAACTCTCTACCAATATTTTAGGACATTGCTCCTGGGTAAGAAACATACCTAAATATCATATTTAAATTGTCCGGAAGTCCTTAGTTACTCACACAGCCGCCATTTTGTTTTTTCCAGTTATTAATTTTTTTCTAAAGAATGGTTAAACATACGAAATGGAAAGTTTGCACAAACATTAATGACAACTAGACAAAGCTCCAAAAAAATTATGAAGATTTTTAAATTCATAAAACAAAATGGCGACCATTTAAAATGTTGTTTCTTAAATAGCTCAAAATCCGTTGATTTTATAAAAATTTTAAATGCCGCCATTTTGTTTTATGAATTTGAAAAATCTTCATAATTTTTTTGTAGCTTTGTCTAGTTGTCATTAATGTTTGTGCAAAGTTTCCATTTCTTATGTTTAACCATTCTTTAGAAAAAAATTAATAACAGAAAAAAACAAAATGGCGGCTGTGTGAGTAACTAAGGACTTCCGGACAATTTAAATATGATATTTAGGTATGTTTCTTACCCAGGAGCAATGCCCTAAAATATTAGTAGAGAGTTCCGGGACACCCTGTATATCGGTTAAATATACCTAGTTAAAAGTTGAATGTAACAAATTATTTTATACAGTAAGTAGCCAAAGAATGTACAGCGGAGATGTCAAGTTTTATACTATTCATTGAATTTGTTTGTTTTATCCCGTTTTGGCCGTGTTTTATATGTATACTCCCGGTGTGTAAATGTCCGATAAGCTCCTTAGTTCGAATTTTCGATAGCTCGACAACCCCTAAGTCCACAAAATGCCGAACTATCAAGGTTCTACTGTAAATGTAAAGTATTGTTTAGTCCAAATGAGATATTTTACCCTTTGTATCAAACACACTAGAATGCCTCAGGAATAACAATTTCGATGTAATACGCACCGATCGGATACTTATAAAGATAAAACTATTATGGATGAAAAATGTTAATCTGTATACCATTTCTATATAACATTTTTGACGTATCAGCATATATCAGATTAGTAAGACTCACCTCTTTATGTGGCGGAGCGGGGGTTGGCGCGGCTATAGGGGCAGCAGCGGGGGCCGCAGTACTGTGCAGATCTATGTGTAGATGAGAGGCAGGATGAGGCTTCTTGGGCGGAGACGCGTGGTGCTCGTGGTCGTGGTGATGGTCGTGGTGATGATCGTAAAGATGATCGTGGTGATGATCGTGGTGATGATGGTGATGCGACAGTTCCGATAAGGACGGCTGAATGTGCGTCACGAAGTGCGCCATGGCTGATTAACACACCTGCAAGACACAAAACACTAATTTTATCTATTCAAATTTGGCTTACATTGGTCCTAGCCTTCATTATTGACTATCCGCATGACGGTACAAACGTCTCATATTGAGATAATCAGAATTAAGAGTTGAAAGACTCTTTAGAGTTCAACTTCAATGCTATAAGCAATGTATTCAAGCGGAGATATTTTTGTCTGTTAAGTTACATGCTGGGGCAACTATTTCCATTGTTAAATTCAATAGTGTTTTAAATTCTTTCAGCGCCGGTTGTTATCTGGTTTGCACAGCTTTCTGACTGCTTTATGCACTGAAAGTACAACTCCCATGTGATATGTAGCATAGGCAATGATCAGTTAAACGAATCGTATTTATTTACGTGACGTGGATTTGCTTAGCCATTGTATAGCCTACTCGTCACTGATACAGGTAAGAGGAAGACATTGCAAAATGGGGAAAATATTTAAATACTGTAGTGAAATAAACTATGCATGTTGGCGTCATCCACTTAATGATAATCTACTACCATAATCTATCTTTAATCTTCTTCTACCGTACTCAATAGGCCTACACGGGGGTTTCTCTGTTACATCCCTTTTTCACCCGTCCTACGTTAACGATTTTTCGATTGAGGTATCAAAATTTAAAGCTTATTATCTAACAGAGGGATGAATAGCAGCTACAATGTAAAAAGGTGTTCGGGCTTAACCTACCTAGCGTTTAATTTAAGGATTATTTAAAAAATGCACTGATGCTGACCAATTATCTATTTATAACTAAACTGTTTTAAATATGAATTGTATTTATAGATCCTTCGATCCTTCAGTTGAATGTTTAACCATATCATACATGATATCATTATGAAAATATAGGGACACCACCTAAATAATATGTGTGGAAGAAAGTGTACAATATTGTGACCAAATGATCTGTGTAGCTTTGTTATCTGATCAGTAGTTTCATCTTTCAGGATCATTATATCAAGCCAAATGATCAAGGACAGCTGGGTCCAGTTTCGAACCATCAAAAAGCTACTGAATTCTCTCAGGATCAAACCGGCAACGTAACAAATTTACCACAGTTAGATTTTAAAGTGATTATTTGAATATTCTACCTTTATAGATAACCAGCAGAGTACTTGTCCTTCGTAAGGGGATCGGGTATATTTGTAACGTGCGCTTGGGTCCCTCGTATATATTATTGTTTTCTAAAAGAGTTCCTTTACCACCACACTGGAAAATGTACAAATTTCTCACATTTCAGGCCCTTTTTCAAACAATAATTTTTTATTTCCTCATTTAATTTTGCTTTAAAATTGTATTCAAGTTAAATTTGATTTATTTAATACTAGTGTACATGTTGTTCGAATTCGAGCAATTGCGAAGTATTACAGGCGTTATTTTAATACGAATAACAGTCACTAGTGTACCTGTTGCTCGAATTCGAGCAATTGCGAAGCATTACAGGCGACTTAAAGATTATGGAAATACTCACGATCTACACAACAGTTAGATATAATCAAAATCTTTTGTAAATACCGTATCTTATCTTTTTTCAAAAATCTGATCTTGTTTTTTTAGTGTTTTAGTGTAAAAAAAAAACATTATTTCTATTTCTTCTACTTGGTTGTGTTCTATGACTTTTTCTATGTTTCCATTGTTTGCAAATCGGTTATTTCAATGATTGCTCATGAAATGTAGAACAGTGTCAATTCAGTTTTATTTTTAGCCTATATCAAATTGTCCAGGATTTCTCGCTCTTTTCCATTCTAATAATTACACCAAGTTTTGTCTACAGATGCAATATGCCAACGAATATCACCTACGTGCAATCTCCAAGAAGTGGTAAAAAAGGCAGAAACCAACCCATACAATAGATATAAGTTAACTCCAAAAGAAATAATTTAAGAGTTACTGTGATATTAGGATTTTCCACTGATTTGGTAATAGAACATTATATTGCAAAACATGACATGATGCAGAAGAAAACCCATTTTAAAATCAGAAAAAACCCATTGCAAATACTGTACTTCATTTTGACAAATTCAATAAATCACAATATAAATATTAACAGCTGTTTCATTAAAAAGTAGTGTAGAATTATGCATAATGGTCGTAATGTAAACAAATCTGAAGAGGCAACTTTAAGGCTTCTGGGGCAGAGCCCCAAGGGAATTTACCTCGTTCCTCTTTTGATGGCTCATCTACAGACCAAGACCTTTCTTTAGAGACCCCTACCAAGTTTTTACGCCCAGCCGTTCTCTCAAAATAGCTGTGACAAAGAAAAACAGTTTCAAATTAATATATAGATCATTTCCGATGGCTTTAAAAAAGTTGACTCAAAGACTATGGAAATTCTTACGATGTACTGAACAGTTCGATATAATCAAAATTTCTTGTAAATATCTTTCATTTTTCAAAAGCTGATCTTGTTTTTTTGCGTTTTCTACAAATGTGTTCCACTCATAGCCGCATTAGGTTGTCCATAATAACAAACTCTAAAAAACACATTATTTCTATTTTGTTTACTTGGTGGTGTTCTATGACTTTCCTATGTTTCCATAGTTTGCAAATCAGTTCTTTCAATGATTTATCAAGAAATGCAGCACAGTGTCCAATCTTCTTATCAGAGAAATCTTCAGGCGGCTGTTGGATAGCATACTTAAACCCAACACGTTATGCACGTGATGCTTGCTATATTCGACTATCAACGACAATAGTAATATTTGTATTTCGTTCGCGTCTACCAGTACATTCGTCGGTCTCCTCCTATTGGCCGTCCTGGTTGACGTCTTATAGTTTCCATTAGTCGAACGTTTTTTCTTATGTTTTGATTTCGTGCAAATAAAAACTTGTTAAAAATAGTGAAACATCAATCTTTTCAACTAATCTAATAAATCCTTACTAGTGTACATGTTGCTCGAATTCGAGCAATTGCAAAGTATTACCGGTACAGGAGTTATTTCAAAACGAATAACAGTCATATTTACAATGAGTTTAAAAGAGTCAACTCAAAGATTACCGGTGTGTAACTCAGACCATGTTTATCTTCGTTATTGATAAACCTAAAGCATTCAGGTCGGGTTTCTCCTTCTCAAAAAGCCTCGCTGTACAGGCAACAAAGGTCATTGATAGAGGGCCAATTGAGAACGAAAAGTCGTTTTGGGGTAGTGTTAGGGCGCATTTGTAACCTAATACAGTAGCATAGAATAAATAAACACCATCATTACTTAATATTACTTCATCTATGCTAATAGTTGAGGTTGTCCAGGGTCAGGTACTGACTGTGTGAGTTTAGCCTTTACGCGCCACTGTTCTGTAGCTGCGGTCGTTATCACGATTACGCCTCCGGTCTATGTTTCGTTGTCATCGCGTCATAGGCAATTAAAAGAAAAAAAACCACATATAAACAAATTATAGTTACACAAAACAACGATAAATATCACAGATTTAAGTTACAATCATAACACGATCCGTCCTAGCTACACAAAACAACGATAAATACACAAATTTTAGAGACAACCATACTAACACGATCCGTCTTGGGGGTTATGTTTACACAAACTCAAATAGTAAATAAATGTACTCAATGCGTTTCATTGAATTGAAAATAAATAACAGCAATTAAATTATACAGCTGATCAAAATGTAAACAATTATGTTCTTCATAAGGATAACATGGGATATTTCAAGGCCACTGGGGCAGAGCCCAAGGGACCTTTTCAAAAATGTAAGACCAGTTTGCAAATCTACGCGACACGCTCTTTCCAATGAGACGTCAATGGACAAAATCGGTTAAGAAATGGCGGAGGAGTTCAACCGACAAAGTTTAATGTAGCGTATTAATTATATAGATAGCACATGTCTCTAAACTTAGTATAACCAGCTGTTTCAAATATTAGTGTCAATTTCAAAGTATTCATCTGTTCAAATGTAAACAAACATTTTCTCCCTAAGAATAACATGGGAACTTTGAAGGTGACTGGGACAGATCCCTGATGGAATTCCAAAGTTTTTTTGTTTGATGGCAAAACTACATGCTAAGAACTTCCTAACGACACCTTGGGCATGGTGATCGGTAGCACCAACGCTCCAAAACAATTATGATAAAAATATGCCTAGCGTATTAAATATACGCTAGGCATAATATTATAGCATAATATATTTAGTCATCACAGAAGACTAGCTGTGCCCGTTCTCCGCACGGGGATCTTATAGTATTCAGTTGAACATTCTTATATAAAGAACAGCAGTTGCAGTTGGTTTGCATATTTTCAGATATGCTGGCCAAACTATTATACATAACTTCATTTTATGTTGTTTGCTGTTTTTCCGGATTGGTATGACAATCAATAAAAGGTTAAATTACCTGTGTCCGCCGGTCGATCCTAATGTATCCTATTACAGGAGATGCATTTCGGCGAAATTAAATCGCCATCATCAGTCCTAATATAAGGTCTTGAGCCATTAGGTGCGTCTTGGAGTTTTTGAAACACATACACGAACTGTACACTTATACACATGACGAATAAAACCTGAATACACGGTAGGCCTACTTTTATTTTTACTATGGACATGTAGACGCACGTCGGTCGTGAGCCGAGTCTCGACTGAAAACGCTCATTTAAAACATTTAAGTTTCCCAGCCATATACAACACTGATTCAAGGTCTTTTTCCCGGTTATCAAAACTCAAGAACAATTTTATACACAAAGAATCTCAATTTTTATTTACGGTTACCCTAAATCTGTTATGTAAGGAAAAACGTTTTTAATCCTACTTAGTTTGGATTTGCTTTCAAAACGTGATCGGAATTGGTTGCGGTATTTGTAAACGACATCCAATGTAAACATATCAGTGACAGCTAGAAGAAATAACCTTGATTCGAACAGCTGTTCGTTATTTCATAGATGAATATGTGATAAACATTGGGAGAAAACTTTACAAAAAATCGCACAAAATTGGGTTTTTAAACGTCCGTAATTTTATTTACAAAGTAGTGACGCCATA